GTCATCGAGTCCAATCCCCCGCTAAAAAACAGTACCAATCCCAACTAAATTATTCCAGCCAGGGCTTCGTCAAGCTGGGACTTAAAAACCTCTAGGAATGGAGATGCCGTGACCTCCTGGGTAACCTATTCCAGTGCTTCACCACCCTCCTAGTGAAACAGTTTTTCCTAATATCCAACATAGACCTCCCCCACTGCAACTTGAGACCATTGTGCCTCATTCTATCAGCTGTCACCACGGAAAACAGCCTCTCTCCATCATCTTGGAACCCCCTTTCAGGTAGTTGAAGGCTGCTATCAAATCCTCCCTCACCCTTCTCTTCTGTAGACTAAATAAGCCCAAACTCAACCTCTCCTCATGTGCTCCAGTCCCCTAATAATTTTGATTGCCTTTGGCTGGACTCCAATTCATCCACATCCTTTCTGTAAGGGGTGGGAGGCAGAACTGGATGCAATACTCCATAGGTGGCCTCACCAGTGCCGAATAAAGGGAAATAGTAACTTTCCTAGATCTGCTGGCAATGCTCCTATTAATGTACCCCAATATGTCGTTAGCCTTCTTGGCTACAAGGCCACACTGTTGACTCATATCCAGCTTCTCATCCACTGTAATCCCCAGGTCCTTTTCTGCAGCACTGAGAGTAGCCAGTCAGTCCCCAGTCTGTAGCATTGCTTAGGATTCTACCATCCCAAGTGTAGGACTCTACATTTGTCCTTGTTGAACCTCATCAGATTTCTTTTGGCCCAATATTGCAATTTTTCTAGGTCACTATTGATTATATCCCTACCCTCCATGGTACTTAGTTTTCCCCATAGCTTAATGTCATCAAACTTGCTGAGGGAGCACTCCTTCCCCTCATCCAGGTAATTAATTAAGATGTTGAACAAATCTGGCCCAGAATCAACCTTTGGGGCAGTCTACTTGATACTGACCGCCAACCAGACATTGAGCCATTGATCACTACCTACTGAGTCCAATGATCTAGCCAGATTTCTATCCATCTTACAGTCTATTTATCCAATTCATACTTCTTTAATTTGCTGGCAAGAAAGCTAGCTGTGTGAGACTGTATCGAAAGCTTTGCTAAAATCCAAGTATATCACATCCACCACCTTCCCCATGCCCACAGAGCCAGTTACCTGATCATAGAAGGCAATCAGGTTGGTCAGGCATGACTTGCCCCTGAGGGATCCAGGTTGACTGTTCCTAATCACTTTCCTCTCTTCCAAGTGCTTCAAAATTGATTCCTTGACTCCCCTCCGTGATTTTTCCAGGGACTGAGATGAGGCTGACAACATACAGAAATGGTTGCCTTATCTCAAAAGAGATAAATTGGCATTGGAAAAGGACAACAAAAAATGATTAGGGGTTTGGAACAAGTCCCATATGAAGAGAGATTAAAAATACTTGGGACTTTTCATCTTAGAAAAGAGGAGACTAAGGGGGGATATGAGGTGGTCTAAAAATCATTACTGGTGTGGAAAAAGTAAATAAGGAAAAGTTCTTGACTTGTTCCCATAACATAAGAACTAGGGGTCACCAAATGAAATTAATAGGTAGCAGGTTTAAAACAGACAAAGGAAGTTTTTCTTGACGCATCACAACCAACCTGTGGAACTCCTTGCCATAGGATGTTGTGAAGACTAGGATTTAACAGAGTTCAAAAAAGAGCTAGATAAATTCATGGAGGTTAGGTCCATCAATGGCTATTAGCCAGGATGGGTAGAAATGGTGTCCCTATCCTCTGTTTGTCTGAAAATGGATGACAGGAGAGGGATCACGTGATGATTACCTGTTGTGTTTACTCCCTCTGGGGCATCTGGCATTGGCCACTGTTGGCAGACAGGATACTGGGCTAGAGAGACCTTTGGTTTGACCCAGGATGGCCATTCTTATGTCTGTAGTTCCCTGGATTCTCCTTCTCTTTTTAAAGATGGGCACTACATTTGCCTTTTCCAATCATCTTGGACCTCCCGTGATTGCCACGAGTTTTCAGAGATAATGGCCAATGGGTCTGTAATCTCGTCAGTTATCTTTCCATCAGTTCTGCCTTCTCTCACCATTGCTGCCCCTTTTCTAATCATGACCACAAGCCAAATAAGTTGCCAGCCCCTATCTAGATAATTAGTTTTTGAAATGAAATGGAAAACAGAAGGGTTACTTTTCAATTTTTAGTTGATGAAACCAGTGCAGTCTTCACTGCTGTACATTACATGAACAGAGCTTCCCGTTTTAATTTGGTTTTCATTAGCCTGTCTTTAAGATAGCTCAAGGCTGTCTCCCACTGTCAAGGAATCTCAGCCTGTCACTAACAAAGCAGCAGTTTCAATGTATTGCAATCTGTGTTACACAGCCTGAGTCACTAATTAGAACTAAAATTGCATTCATGATGTGGCCTCCACAAGGTAACACAGCCTGAGTCACTAATTAGAACTAAAATCGCATTTATTATGTGGCCTCCACAAGGTGGATCACAATACATTGCAACATGGAAGCATGAATGAGCAAGAGAAAAATTTCCAGAGCAGTAACCTATTAGTAACTGCACCACATAAAATTGTAAGAAGTCTTGTCCTTTGTGAGGCACATTGCAATACATCCATGATGGAAGAACTGCTTTGGTGGTAACATATGGATGGTTATGCAGAGAAGAGCGGGTCAAAAAGTTTCTGTTGAAACTGTCTCATCAGAAAACTGGATTGTTGACTAAACATGTTTTGCAAACTGTCTACTGTCCAAGGAAAGTTTTCATCTTTCAGTCAGAAAAACAAAATGTCCCAATATTTCGGTAGATTACCAAAATATTTCAATTTAGAAATGTAGAACCAGGACGTCATGGGAATTGTAGTTTGGGGATATGAGGCAACTGTTCTCCTCTATGGGTTGGACATCATGGTCAGACTATATCTACCTTGATACTCCAGAGCTATGGACTCCCAGTGTGGACCGCTTCCTTTCTCAAGAATTGAGACTGTAGTGCATGATGGGAATCATCATCTAACCAGTGCATGATGGCAATCATCAGCATATAGAAGAGACTGTAGCATAATGTTGCTGAACAACAATTTTGTATTTTCTGGAAATATGTTTTTTTTAAATTTCTGCTGAAAATGAATGTTTATGTTGAAAAATAACACATTTGACCAACCCCCTCAAATGCAGAGTGACAACACTGAATATAACACTTTGTAAAACTGTGCTGGGAAATTATTTTCTTGTCCCAGGAGAATCTGAGATATAGAATAAAACAAAACCCTTTCTCACAACAGGATGAAATGTTAAAATCTTGAAAGTGTTTGCACACCAAACTTTTTTTGCAATGAGCCAGTCAAAACATTGTTTCAGTAACTTCTGCATTTCATTAAGAATTTGACCTTTTAACATTTTACATTGTTATTAATTATAATAAACAAATTTCAAACAAAAATGGAACTTTTTCTTTAAAAAATGCCAAAATGGAACATTGACAGTTTAAAAAGAAAATCCAATATATTTTGAAATAGGAAATTCATCAGTGCCAAATCATTTCCCATGAAATGTTTCAATTTTGATTAATTGACATTTTTAAATTAAAAGATAAAGATTGTCAAAAAATTCCTAGTTAATAATTTGCAGCACTTCACAGTACATTTTGAGCTTGATTTGCTACTGTCTAACACTAGTTCTATTCCATTAACTTCACTGGATTTTTTGCAAATTTACATTGGAAAGAAGAGCTCCTTCATTTTCAGAGCACTTGGCATCCTTGTTAGTTAGGTAGGGAAGCATTATTCTCATTTCCCATATGAAGAGAGCGAAGAAGGGAGGTCACGTGACTTGGGGAGTCAGCTGAAGAGCTCTAATCAAAATTAAGGAGATTCTTCATGGTCGAATCATAAGACATTTCTATAGTCAAACCCAGGATTTGGCTCCCAGGTAAGCAGTAGCACTATTAGAACCATATAATCCAGAAGATGAAGGCTAAAGAAGTAATTTAGTTCCTCAGAGCAGTGTGATGGCCTGACTTTTGGAGTGTCAGCAATTGTATCAGGGTTTCTCAGTTTGTTATAATTTTCCTACTTTAAAGGCACAAAACAAACCTATTTATATTTGTACTACTATTTTATTTTTATACTGAATAGTGTACTTACATGTGGACTATGGCCACCCTGTTGAATACAGAATGGTAACAGATGTCTGCGCTTTTTTTTACTTACCCTGTTGAATACAGAATGGTAACAGATGTCTGCGCTTTACTCAAGACAGTACAATAAATGGTGGAATCATTTTTTCCCTTCACTTACACTCTCCAGTTCCAGTTCTCCTGCTCTTAACTGAACCTCCCACGGGATGCTAGAATCATAGTTCATGAAACACAGTTATCTATTCCCTACAGTGCCACCACAATGGCTGCTGAGTGAACTTCAATTCCAATTGCAGTGCTCTAACAGCAAAAGGTCAAGGTACAGAAAGTGGTCCTGACTTCAGAAAATAGGTAACTTTCTAAAGATGAAACATTTTCGTTTTTATTTATAGGCATTTTATGACACTCATCACTGTAGAACCCACAAAATGGTTTGAAATTCTACAGCAAAAAGATGAAGACAACTCTATATTTGATTAGTTTTTCCAATTTGTTTCATTCCATTTATTCTGTATTTCATCCACCCAATCTGAAAATCCAAAATAGGTGAAATCACATTTTAAAACTAGAGGATAGCAATACATTAATATATATTGATTCAATTTATTGAATATTAACTGAAGGTTAAAACAAAATGTGAAACAGCTATTGTATGTGCATACAGGCAGTCCCCAGGTTACGTACAAGATAGGGACTGTAGGTTTGTTCTTAAGTTGAATTTGTATGTAAGTAGGAACTGGTACATATTGTAGGGGAAACTCTAGCCAAACATTTCTGCAGAGCTCAGTTTTATTCTCTCACACCTCACTTCCCTCAGTCCTTTATTCTCAAGCTGAGGTGTCTGCTGAGAAAAGCCGCTCTGCGTCTCCCTGGTCTGCTGGGGGGAAGCAGCTAGTGCAGGGTTGCCTTACCCCGTTTGTAAGTAGGGATCCGATGTAAGTCGGATCCATGTAACCCGGGGACTGCCTGTACTTTAAATGACCTCCTTCCTATTATATAAAACCGCAGGAAAAAAGGATAATTTTGTTATTGATGCATATTTATAAACTCTCTCTCTCTCTATATATATACACACACACATATATATAAACACACGAAAAATATTTAAAATAAAGTATGTCAGATCATAAACAATTACATTTCAATAAAAAATGGTTTGCATCATATATACATTGTATCACCAATCTGAAAACAATTAAAAACAACATTAAACACCAGTTAATTTCTCCCCAAGGCTATTAAATCTAAATATTTTCAATATTGCAACTTTACAATAATTAGCATCCCTTTCAGGCTTTTTCTTTGTTTTAAAAAATTGAGTTTACGCATATTATAAACAATAGAGATTTTAAAAAACATGTTAATATAATTCTAAAATAATAGAACAATTTACCTCCCTCCATTTCAGGTTTACTGTTCGTTTCACTTGCATATATATAACTTAACTAGAGGCATGATACGATGCAAGGGAGATATAAATGCTACATAAGTTAAAGTATGTAAAGTAACTATAGCCTAGTGTAACCTCACCCACATAAGAAAAAGGGAAGTTAAAGATGAAGTGTTTCAAATAATACTAATGCTGAATCAGCCCAAGCTAGGATTTTGCCATGCAAGATCAATGACAATCTTCAAAACTCCCCCTTTATGGTTCACTCTAAAGTTCTGACTCTCCAAAAGAGAACTCGCACACAGTTTTTTAACTGGATTTCTTAGTAACCAAAATTTAGAACGATTCTCGAATGGCACAGTGTAAACTACTTGTGGTGAAAAAACAGTACTAAGAATCTGAAACTTTCTAAGATTCTGTTTCAGAAGCTGATTTGTTGTTTGTGCAAAGATAATCACATTCTTTGCCTTTTTTTGAGATTAGACTTGGTAAAACAGTGGGGAGCCTACCAGGGAGGCAGTTTATCCCTCCCTGATTCTCTGTCTTTCTTCAGTGCATGTTAAATCAGGCTAACGACTGCTCTAACCTGTAGAACCCTGTATGGATACAAAATGTCTATTCATAGCTGCATTCATATCTGCAAAAATAAGCTGCGGATATCTGCATTCACATCTGCGGATATCGGCATCCGCATCCACATCTGTGGACGCAGATACCTGTGGATATAAAGTGGATATCCATGAATTTGCAGGGCTCTGCAAACCTGCACCAGCTGGCAAGGAGATCCTCAAGGACCATGTCAGTCGGAAAGAGCTGAGGTAAAGTGCAGTCTGGGCACTCTTTCTCTCCCCTCCTCCAGATCACTGACATCCACTGTGCCATGCACTTTGAAGAGGAACCATATGTGCCAGGTCTAAAACTGCTAGGCTCTCCCCCATGTCAGGGGAATTTCAAACTAAGGGGATGAGGTCTCTGTACCACCTGACTGGCAAAAAAAGAAGAACAGCAGAGAATCAGCCCCAAAGGTTTTAAAGACTTAAATCAGACTACTGAGCAGAAATTGAGCTCCCAATGTCTAATTAATTTGTCCCGTCCCCCCCAACACCTACATTTTAACCAAATCCAGAAATTGACAAAGTATTTTAATTCATCTGCATAATAATTTGTAAACAACTACAAATTACTGTTTACAAGATATAAAAGTGCACAATGAAATTTGTTTTCTGTGGTACATGCTTAAAAATCTAAAACAAATATGGACACCGTATCATTGACATAACCTAGTGGAATACTCTGTAAAAAGTCAATTACTGCACTTAATGTTAACATTTACACAGCTATATTTTATTAAAGGTTTACATGCAACACACTGATTAAATTTTTTAAAATTTACATAAAATACATTTACAAAAGGATCAATTATCACAGACTTCTATGAACATTAGTGAACAACATAAAGAAAGTATATGAAAATCAGCAAATATTTTCAATGAGGTAAAGTTAAAGTTAACAGGCCTTTATCATTGATTGTGGGGCTAAAACATAGTCCAAATCTTCAGGCACAGAACAATTTTCTATTAACAGGAGGCCCTTATTCCTTGATATTTTGAAGGAGCTGCAATAAATGAGACTCAATAACCTGTTGAACTAAAGTGGAGAAACAACCTAGTTAATTAATGTTCAATGATTTCCAAATCTCTACTGTTGTATTTTACTGCCAGATACAGACTTCTTTGATTGGATGATTGTACAGGACATGAATTAATTAATGCACTACACGTTTGTATTATAGAATCATAGAATAATAGGACTGAAAGGGACCTCGAGAGGTCATCGAGTCCAGCCCCCCGCCCTCAAGGCAGGACCAAGCTCCGTCTACACCATCCCTGACAGATGTCTATCTAACCTGTTCTTAAATATCTCCAGAGAGGGAGATTCCACCACCTCCCTTGGCAATTTATTCCAATATTTGACCACCCTGACAGTTAGGAATTTTTTCCTAATGTCCAATCTAAACCTCCCTTGCTGCACTTTAAGCCCATTACTCCTTGTCCTGTCCTCAGTAACCAAGAGGAACAAATTTTCTCCTTCCTCCTTGTGACACCCTTTTAGGTATTTGAAAACCGCTATCATGTCCCCCCTTAATCTTCTTTTTTCCAAACTAAACAAGCCCAGTTCATGAAGCCTGGCTTCATAGGTCATGTTCTCTAGACCTTTAATCATTCTTGTCGCTCTTCTCTGTACCCTTTCCTTTCAATTATCTATGACAATTAAAGCATCATATAGTTCAAAACAATGAATATACTGAATGAACATTGAACAGAGGGCCAATACGTGGAGTGAGAATGGGGGGAAGCCATGGTTTGTGGCCTAGTTTGGAAATGTAGCTAAAATAGGTTAGGTAGGACATGGGTGATTCTAAACTGTATGGCTACATCTACACAGCAGCCTTATTTTGGAATAAATAACATTATTCCAAAATAACAGTCCTCATCTACACAACAAGCAGTTATTTCGACATAATGTTGAAATAATGTTGAGTTGAAGGACTTCTTACTCTGACTCTTATAACCCTCATTTTACGAGGAAGAGTGCTTTTTCAGACTTCCTGCTGTGTAGACAGCTCCAAAAGCCAAAATAAACTATTTGGACTTAAGCTACACAATTGATGTATCTCTAGTTGTGTAGCTTATTTCGGCATTAGCCCTCCTGTGAAAACGTGCCCTAAGTGGAGAGTGTGTTAGTACTAGAGGCTTTAAAAAGAAAAAAAAACCCACACTGTTGGAAATATGTGATTTTCTTCAGTGTTCAGAATTTACACACTGAACCCCTTATTTGTTCCCTGAGTCAATTCCATCGTAAGCCCAGGGGCTTGCAGCAGTTACATGCATGGGTTGATTTATCATTTTTTATTCAGTTCATGGCTTAAAAAAAATAGTTTTCACATGGTTCAGAAGCCAGGGTCACCCCTGAAGAGGCACCTTTTTGACTCTGTATAACCCAAAGAGGCTCTGAAAGCAGAGAGCCAAATTTGCCAACCTACCATGCAGAACCCTGGCAGAAATGCCCACTCCCCTGAAAAGGTTTATCTTTTTAGAAGAAAAAGAACTTCAAATAGTTCACAGAAGTAAGTCCAAGAATACTGTGACTATTTAATGTACATGATAGCAGAGGCCTGGCCCAAGTACCCAAAACACAAACAACTATGCCCACGAGAAAGCTGGACCCAGATTGAACGTCTCCCTGAAGTAAGAGGGCAGCTAATTCATATCATCTACTGGACAGTCTCAGCAGAAAGGTCTTCCGTGTATTCTAAGACAGAATTTAATAATATCTTGCTATGGCCAAATCCTGCGGATGGTAGTGTCACTGCATGCCCTCTTTTAGAATAAATCCTCCTTCTGGTACAGTTGTCTCTACATCAGGAGTGAGGAACTTAAGGCTTGCCTGGATCCAGCTCCTGAGACTCAGGGCCCCCCTTTAGTATTGGGGGAGCCCATGCTAGCACCTCAACACTGTTTCCCCGTGAGGCTGGAGTGCACAAAACCTACTAGCCTGAGTCCAATGATTTTTCTGTGGGTCAGAAGCCCCTTACCCACAACAGACTTCCCATCCCTGCTCTACAGAGAATTTTATAAATTAGATACACTCCCAACTGTGCCTTAAAGACATGGCTCAAGATCAGTGACTTTCTTTCACTATTGACCTGGGCTCATGAACTAGAGGTGAAAGACTCCTTACCTATTATTGGTTCTGTGTACAATCCAGGCCTGTCTGCTAAATTACATATTGTAATTGCCCATGCTGCTAGAGCTAACTTTTTAATGGATTTTGAAAGCACAAATTAATCAAATAAAATAATGTGAATCTGTTCAATTAACACGTGCATAATTTAGAAAATATTTTAACTAGCCTATAACCAACTGAAAAGAACAACCTAACAGATTTAGCAATCTCAAACCACTTTAGAACAGGAACTTTTGTCTTCTTACATTGGTAAAGCACTGTTACTGGAGTTACATAAATAAACAATAAAAACAGCCAAACCTAAAGGTCTCTGAACACTTACCACTCCGATGGCCTAAAGCCACAGCCAAATCCATGGAATTGTAGCCAGAATCTGTCTCAATAGTTGGATCAGCCCCATTTTCTTCATAAAATAGAGGAAAAAATTTAAATTATGCTGACAACTAGTAGTTCATAATTATCAGTAATAAACTTCTTTGGGGTTTCATTTCTTAATGTTATCCTTAATGTCTTACCTAAGAGAATTTTTACACATTTCACATGGTTTCCATGTACTGCATATAGCAGAGGTGTCCCTCCATTCTGCAAAAGAAGAAAAAAGACATATAAACTTTAATAGCTGGAGTTCACGTATCTAGTTAAAAACCTGGTCAGCTGTATCTGCAATTCCCTTATAAAAGAAGAAGTACAACATATGTGAGTACTTCAGATCACAATAGTCATAAAATGCAATGAAAAGGTCACCAGCTCTTTTCCAACTGTGTCCCCCATCTTCTATGGATCTACTTTTCAGTCACAATCCTGGAAGTAGGCTGTGTCTACAGATCCCTATTCCTATGAGGAGTTCTAGTGAAAGGAGCTTTGCAAGGGCAAATCTGCCTCCGTGAGTCAGACTGCAGAACCTGAAGTTTGTAGACTCTTCAAGGCAGAAACTGGTCCAAAGTATTTGTGCTTCCCTGACGGCTGTCCTAAATTATAGCAGATGCCAACAGATCAAAAGGCAGGAATTAGCACATCTATTCTTGCACAACAGGTGATCACTCCAGAGCTGGTTATGCCACTTTTATGCCCAATGTGGCGTACATTAACCAAACCACACCTCAATTCTGGGTCACTGTTTTTAATGCTGTTGCTTGGTATTGAGTACACTGATGATTATTTATATTACATCAAGTGGTAACAGACATTTTTATTGCACTAATATAGACAATATTTAACTTGTACAAAATCTTCTGAAGCACTCGTACAAAAATTCCAGGTGCTTTAGAAAACTGTCTTATACACTCAAAATCTGAAAGCTAAAACCTTTTCAAATGTGGCTATTAACCTGAAATACATTTCATCTCCCTTATTTATATTTTCACTGCTAACTTTGTTCAAAATAAATCCTTATGGTGGAATGTAAATAATTCAATAGTAATTTCATCAGATCATAAAAAAATTAACAACTTTGACATTCATGATAAAAAATGGAAAATTGAGCAAGTGAATACTTTAGCTTAGACCTTTTTTCTGACATTTTGTGATACAGGCTTATGTTTCTGACAGTGCAGTTTAATCAGCAATATCACCTTTGAAAGGCAAAATTCACAAGGGTCAAAGGCCAGTTTCTGTCTTCTGAAAGCAAACACATTTTAAAGGTTACTTAAGATGTTACCCTCGTCCCTGAGATATTCTCTCTTGACTACAGAGATGATGATATAATTTTCTGTATAAGAAATTGCTATAGCAGTACTTATTATAGATTAAAGTTCTTCTGGGGCTAGAAGTCCTGGGTAAGGAACACCCTATTAGTTTGAGGGAAAACGAACATTTCACTTCCCCAGAAGCCCCAAACACACTCTGATTCCCAGTCAACAGGTGAGCTCAGGAACAATCTCATCTAGCTCTCCTGTTCAGTTTAGAATATACTCCCCTATCCATCCAACCAAGTTGGCTATGGAGGCCTGAACAAACTTAGTCCTGTACAAGAGTCCTTGCATGGACAATACATTAGTATGCTGTGTCCTGGTTTTCAAAGTTTACATTTCTTAAGACTTAATATGATTTTCAAATCCATGTCAGTTCTAGCTTTTGGAACACATTTCTGACCAATGCTCACTACGATTATGGACATTCCAGTGACAGACTTACCCAGTCATACTCATTCACATCAACTCCGCAGTCAAGCAGCATTTTGACAATATCTGTGTATCCCTTACTACAGGCCAATGACAAAGCGCTTTCTCGCCCTTTCCCCAAAATTTGAGGGTCTGCACCCTGAAAGAAAAAAAAAGTGGTAACAGTCCTATTTAAAAAGCTTACTGTCATAGGCTGGGGGGCCCTTTAGGGCAAGCTGGGATCAGCCTTGCCCTGATCTAGCCACAAAATGGCAATTAGTGATCCCAGCTGGATGCACTGGAGCTAGTTACCATGAAAAACCCCAGATGCAAATCTAGAGAGAAACTCCAGAGGAAGCAAAACTCTCCTGTAGATAGAAACTTCTAGCGATAGGAGAGGGGATAGTCTTGAAGAGACCTATAGGCTACTTCTACCCTACAAGTTTTTTTGGTAGAAAATATGTTCATGAGAGACTTGTTAGCATAAGCCGCGAAATCATTAGCATATTTTCTGCCGTTTGTTTTTGCACAAGGGGTTTTTGCGCAAAAAGAAGCAGTGTGGACATGTGGATGTTTCCTTTTTTCACAAAACCCGTTTTGCACAAGATTCTTATGCCTCTCCGGAACAGGCATAAGGGTTTTGTGCAAAAAGGAAATGTCCACACTGCTTCTTTTTGTGCAAAAACCCCTTGCGTAAAAACAAACGGCAGAAAATAGGCTAATGATATCACGACTTATGCTAACAAGTCCCTCATTAGCATATTTTCTGCTGAAAAAACTTGTAGTGTCGACGTAACCATAGGGAGTAGAGTAGACTCGTGTGGAGATAGCCCTGAGCACAGACTTCACGTGTACTAAATATACTCCCCTATCCATCCAACCAAGACACTACAGTTGGCTATGGAGGCCTGAACAAACTTAGTCCTGTACAAGAGTCCTTGCATGGACAATACATTAGTATGCTGTGTCCTGGTTTTCAAAGTTTACATTTCTTAAGACTTAATATGATTTTCAAATCCATGTCAGTTCTAGCTTTTGGAACACATTTCTGACCAATGCTCACTACGATTATGGACATTCCAGTGACAGACTTACCCAGTCATACTCATTCACATCAACTCCGCAGTCAAGCAGCATTTTGACAATATCTGTGTATCCCTTACTACAGGCCAATGACAAAGCGCTTTCTCGCCCTTTCCCCAAAATTTGAGGGTCTGCACCCTGAAAGAAAAAAAAAGTGGTAACAGTCCTATTTAAAAAGCTTACTGTCATAGGCTGGGGGGCCCTTTAGGGCAAGCTGGGATCAGCCTTGCCCTGATCTAGCCACAAAATGGCAATTAGTGATCCCAGCTGGATGCACTGGAGCTAGTTACCATGAAAGACCCCAGATGCAAATCTAGAGAGAAACTCCAGAGGAAGCAAAACTCTCCTGTAGATAGAAACTTCTAGCGATAGGAGAGGGGATAGTCTTGAAGAGACCTATAGGCTACTTCTACCCTACAAGTTTTTTTGGTAGAAAATATGTTCATGAGAGACTTGTTAGCATAAGCCGCGAAATCATTAGCATATTTTCTGCCGTTTGTTTTTGCACAAGGGGTTTTTGCGCAAAAAGAAGCAGTGTGGACATGTGGATGTTTCCTTTTTTCACAAAACCCGTTTTGCACAAGATTCTTATGCCTCTCCGGAACAGGCATAAGGGTTTTGTGCAAAAAGGAAATGTCCACACTGCTTCTTTTTGTGCAAAAACCCCTTGCGTAAAAACAAACGGCAGAAAATAGGCTAATGATATCACGACTTATGCTAACAAGTCCCTCATTAGCATATTTTCTGCTGAAAAAACTTGTAGTGTCGACGTAACCATAGGGAGTAGAGTAGACTCGTGTGGAGATAGCCCTGAGCACAGACTTCACGTGTACTATGGGGCTGGAGCACCCACAGGGAAAAATTAGTGGATGCTGAGCATTCACCAGCAGACAAGCTTCACATGCTCCATCACCCTCCTCCCAGTACCTCTCACCTGTTGGTGGCCATGCTGACCAGTTCCTCTGCTGCCCTCCCATTACTTCCAGAATGTTGTGACCAGCTGTTTCATGGGAGTTCAGGAAGTTCTGGGAGAGCAGAGGAGGAACTTGGGGGAAGGAGTGGAAAGGGGACAAGCGAAGAAGCAGTGTGGACATTTCCTTTTTTCACAAGGAAATGTGAAATGCGGGGCAGGGATGGGGCATATGGTAAAGCAAGGGTCCAGCACTCCTCTAGATAGAGCGGAAGTTGGCACCTATGACACTGAGAGAAGATTTGTAAGTAGAAGCAGAAGACTTCTGTAGCGGAATGTAGAAAAAGCATTACTCAGGTTTGTTTGGATTTTAATTTGGACCTTTCAGTTACCTGAACAGGGATTTGAGGTGGTTGCAGGGCTGAGTCACAGAAGAGCTGGTGAGAGAAAGGCGCTTGCAGGAAATGCTGGAGCCCAGGAAACCAGTGACAATATGCATAGACATAAGGCAATGCTCCAAAAGACAGTACGCCCCATCTTGCTGGTTCTTTATTTCCCCTTTGTGGGGCAATTAATGTTATTGCTTTTAGAAATGTAGTAGCATCTGCAAACTTATAAAACAAACTAAGGACTTTGAGATTTTCTCCTTACATTCTGAAGCAAAAATTCCACCACTGCTATCTGCCCATGAGCTGCGGCCCACATCAGAGGGGTAAAACCTTCTTCATCTTTATGGTTGATTACATTTTCTGTTTAAAAGAAAAATACAGTTCAATGATCATTTTTGCTGCTGTACCGTAAGTGCTGTTAGAGTAAAGGTTGTGTCAACATTTCTGTTATGAACAGCTGTGTTTATAATTCTACCATCAAGTCCACTCTGGGCTGACATTTTATGTACAAAATCTAACCCTGACAGTGACAGAAATACATTTTTCTATGCTAAAGTGGGGGAAGGGACAAGGAATACTTAACTTCTAATGACTTTCACATTTCTACAAATAAAGCTTTGTTTTTATACTAAGGCTATTTGCCCATAATATTGGCTTGTGTCTATGTTTGGAGATAGCCCAGCAGATACCCCAAAAATAAACAAATGTTCCATATTAATATTTATTAGGCAGTCTAAAAATTTTCCAAGACAGCGAGCAACTCTAATATCTCAAATAAATAATATAGGTTTCAGAGGGTAGCCAAGTTAGTCTTTAACTGAAAAAGCTTAAAAAATAAAAAATAGTACTATGTCTTCTTAGATACTAACAAAAAACGTAGATGGTATCATGAGCTTTTATGGGCACAACCCACTTCTCCAGATGAATGGAGTTAAGGGGCTTCTGAACCCTGGACCCCTTAACTCCATTCATCTGCAGAGGTAGGTTGTGCCACGAAAGTTCATGCCACCATCTATATTTTTTATTAGTCTCTAAGGTGCTACAGGACTATTTGTTGTTTTCTTAAATAATATGTGTAAATCTAGAGGACCACAATAAAGATTTGGCACATTCATGCATTTGACTGGCATTTTGTAGAGAGGGTTAATTGTGCCCCCAGGATTGAAGGAAGTGGTAAGTGTGTTTTTATAGCTGATTCATTGGCTGGATGAGTTAAGAAAACTTGTTCTTGATAGATGTTTGTTTTTTCAATGCTGCTAAGTATACTTACATTGTTGGAAGATAAATTAGGTGTCAGAGTGCCTAAAGTTCTTATATACATAACATTGTAACATTACTTAAATCTAAATAAATATATGCTCAAACTTAAAAATGAATTTGCTTTCTCTGGGTATGTCTAGACTACAAGCCTCTTTTGAAAGAGGCTTTTTCAAAAGAATCTATCGAAAAGACCTCCTTCGAAAGATAGCATCTAGACTGCAATCACTTCTTTTGGAAAAGGAAGCTGCTTTTTTGAAAGAGAGCACCTAGGCAGTCTGGATGCTCTCTTTGAAAAAGCCCTATTTACATTCAAGAATGCCTTTTTTTGAAAGTGCTCTTTCGACACTAAGAACTTACTTTCGAAAGAACGCAGCAGTTGTCTAGATGCAGGGGAAGTTTTTTTTGAAAAAGGACCACTTTAAAAAAACAAACAAACAAAAAACCCTGTAGTCCTCTGGGTTCCCAATCCTGTGCTTCCTAAAACGTTCAGATAGTTTTACTTGCATGAAAGTAATTTTCACAGATAGCAAATTTCAAATGTGTATATTCAAGTATAATACCAACCTAGGCCAATAAACAGATGTCAGACAGTAATGACTTGCAGTGACTGCCTTCAATGGACAGATTCATACCAGAGAAATTAATGTAAATGCTTCTATAATTGGTCGAACCAGTCAGTGAGTCTTCCATCATAACTTATTTTAAGTACAGGTTGGACCTCCCTGGTCAAGCAACATTAGGAACTGTTACCCAGGATAGAGATCCAAAATGGAGCCTGCTAGTCCTTTTCACCTCAGCAGTTTCTCCTCGCCAAAACCACACAGAGGGAAGCTTTGCACTCCAACCTCTAGCCTATGCACACAGGTCTAAACCTGTGCACCCCTCACTAATGCGATGCGTGCGCAGCCAGGTTATGCACCCGGCATCCTTTTCCCTATGGACACCACCCTATACTGTTGCTCCCCACTCGCTAACCCAGTTTCCCGCCTTAATGTCTTTAAAAACCCTCCCCTAGGAATAGCTCGGGTTGGCTCTCCTCTACCCATTGTCGCTGTGTGTTGTCATGTTGATGTCTCACCGCGTCTTCGTCCGTTACCCGTGAGGAGCGCCATCCGCACGTGGTCTGGTCAAGGCTGCTCAGGCCCAACACTAGTTGTGCCCTCCTGAGGGTGAGAGAAGTCTCCTCTCTAAGGATTTTGGGACTGGTGTCCTTGGACTCTGGGACTATACCACCATTTCTACACCTGCGGAACCTCACCTAGCCGAAGGACTGGTGCCAAGGAATCCAGAGGGTTCCACCACATGGAGAGGCGAGGATCTACCTCGAGGAACTACTCAGGAACCGGAACTGATCAGGACCCCGAGGGATATCCCTGCTGTTCTCCCTCACGGCTTTAAATTAGCCACGAGGTCAAAGGCGTCCATCGCCGCCTTCAGTGTTTTAGTGTAAAGTATAATCCTTTTGTATATGGGACCTTTTCTATCCTCCCTTTCTTCAGGATTAGGGTGGGACAGTTTACTGTTGTTCTTGCTGTTAATGCGTGTTATTATTTTCCAAAATATATGGTTTGGCCCTAAATTCGTGTCTGACCTAATTAGTGACTAATCTTTCCAATGGTGATAGATACGTGTACCAGGTCGAATCTGGCTTCTGTGGGGGAGGCAGCATTAGGCTTTGATTAATTGCCTACAACAATTGTTTACCTCAGCCTTCCGGGTAGCAGAACTGATGGGTCCCGAACGAGGGACTTTTCTGGACCATCCCCTGCCACCGTCTACGAACTAGCCAGCCCCCTGACTCTGGCTCCCAATCCCCCCCTCACCATCTCCTCACTCCAACAAGCTGTCCACCCTACTGCTGCTGGCCCCTCCTCAGTCCCAGGTTGTCATATGCATCCGGGGTTCTCCAGCTCCTGGACCTATGCTACTGCAGGTGGCCAGGTTTCCCCAGCTCTCCGCTGCTGCGGTTCTCTGGTCCCATGCTGCCATGGGCAGTTGGGATTCTCCAGCCCTTGGCTCGCGCTGCCATGATTCCCTGGTCCTGTGCTGGCATGGGCAGCCAGATTTCCCTGGCTCTGCTTTGCCATGAGTTGTCAGAGTTGTCCATCCACGCGCTGTCATGGGTGGCCAAGTTTCTTCCTCTGGCCCCATGCTGTTGCGGGTTGCTGGGGTTCTCTAGCCCGTGCCCAGCACTTTTTTGGGATTCTGGTCCCGCTTCCCTCAGCTGGGCTGCTGGATCTTCTACCATTAGGCTCCCACGCTCTCTAGTCCAGGAGCATTCATGGTCCTGCTGGACCACAGATGTTGCTGGACTGGAGAATACTGGTTTTCAGAGTTTCAACTTGTTATTATATTACTGTGATATACAGTACAATGGATGCTTTAGCAGCAGTTTATTTTACAGACAATAATATCTATTATAGAATGACAGCATATAGTTTCACTGCAGATACTGCATACCTCAGAATTGGAGTGATAAACAGCAAATAATTGACTGCAACTATAATATAATATAATGCTGTATAATCAACTGATAAATTATAAGTATAAATATACTCATTTTAAGGGGAATTTGTTTCCAACTATAAATGCAATAAAGAATACTAAATCATCTCAGAACTAATTTGCATAATCACATATCCCTACTTTTGTATATCTCACTTTCACAGTTTACCTTTACACAGTCTTTGTGATTCACTCCATCCCTACCACTTCAGTACAGAAAGGCTTTACAAGCAATTCCCATTAATAATGCTAGTTTCTACACCAAATTGCAGTGACAAGAGAACATACAGCTTTAAAAGTACAAATATAAAATCAATGTCCCTAAAGAATGGATATCATGAGTTCATGAGGCTGCTGATAGACCTGTGGAGGGTTTTCTAGTCAGTTGATGCATGTTGGAGCATATAATCCAATGGAACAAGGTTAAAAATCTTGCAAAGAAAAGATTAAAAGTCCCTCAGACCCTCACCTTGTTCAATACGTGTAGCCAAATAAAGCATTTCTCCTTGAGCAGCCAGCTGGTGAACTGACAGAGCTGCAAAAAGAGCACAAAGATGTACTGAGTGCACATAAGGCCTGCTCCTGCTCAAGCCAGTGATAAATGAACGTACTGATATTGGTTTCAGCTTAACTTCTGAAGCAGCTTTACAGTATTCTTAAAAGTGATTCAATATGACAATGTTCTACCAACTCTCTTATCATATTAAGACAGGCAAAATATTTTCCACAGATGCTGAACTACAAACTTTGTTATGTAGTCAATATCTCTGATAGATTTTTGCCACCTGTCTTATAATTTAATACCACTTTGTAACCAAGATTATATTGCCTTCAGAAACATTTATCAGATGATAAAAAGAGAAACTAACCCCCTCCTTCCCAAATCACTGATACATCGACGACATGTTCTTTTCCGTTTTGAAAATATTAACCAATATTTCCTCCAATGTTCCTTCCTTTCTGTTAAACTCTTAAACTTATCTTGGGTTTCTTCATCAGCACTGAATTTTTGTAGAGCCCTGCTGATTGTGGTCAGACAAAGGGAATTTGTCTTAAGACTTAAAAAAGCTGCAAGCACTTTTCAAACCTATTGTAGCATTAGAATATTCAAAACAGGCTGTGACAGAGTTACATTGTGTTCAGTACAAACCTAGGTGGCTGCCTGTTGAAGTCAATAGCATGACTCCCACGGATCAAGTCTTTAGTAAGCATATGCAATATGACCTACTTTTCTCCTGGAGAGGAAAATATGTCCATTAACCTTCCCTCCCCCACACCCACACATTTTGGGGTAGAAACATTTATTACAGCAGATTACTTTAATAATCTAATAATGACCAAACATTTAAGGTCTTGATCCTTGATACAAAGGGGTTTGTACAGGCACAGAAGTCTGCCTATGTCAAGCTTGCCATGGACATGGAGACTGAGGGGACAATCATTCTGTTTTGGGAAGGGACATAGTTATACATACAAATTGATAACACTTTATGTTGTTTGCCAATGGCTATCCATTAAATAAATGTCCACCGTTCCATTCCTATTCAGTGTTATAATTTTATTTCTCAGAAAGGATACACCTTTTATTCAGAAAAAGGCATTACCTGCTATAGCTCTCTTCCACTTGCTGAATAGGAATGGGCCATTGAACTTGCTGAGTTTCAGAGAGATGTATGTTTAAGATTTCAAACTGTGGCCATTTATAAGGTGAACACTCTAGTAGGTTATGCAGTTATTCCTGAGGGGTGAGGATTTACTGCCAAGGTGTCCTCACAGGTCTCTGGCCCCACTGATGATGCTAACCAGAAGGCTATTTGCATGAGTGCTCAATCATGTGGGCCCAGTGTCCACAGAAGGCCTCAAGAGGGCCCCCAAAGACCACAAATCAGATAAGGATTGAAGGTGCCTGGACAGGTTTATTGTTAAGCAAAGTACAGTAATAGTTGTCAATAGTCTCTACCAAATCACTACACACATGTACGTACAATGGCCTCAGCACAACCAGAGGGAAACTTCCACTGCCCTCCAGCTGGACAAAGAGTATCCCACCAAGACACCACTTTATATACAGGTACAAACAAGTTACTCAGGTTACCACACTGACACTTCTTAGATGCCACCCATCGCCCTGTACCTCATGATTTGATTAGATCACCTCTATCCACCATGCTGTCATTTTAGACCCTTTCCTGAACCTGGGTCAGTATCTGTGGGATGTGGGTACAAAGGTCTTTTTTGATGAGCTGGTAGAACCATGTGCTTTCAACTTATGACCCGTACCAATTACTGTTCCAACCTGGGCCTATTACAAATTAGTGTTTTGCACTCTCAGTCCTGTTCATGCCAAGTTCTGTTAGCAGGACTCTGCCTCTTGCTCACAGCTTAGCTTTGCTTTATGTTAGACATGTTTTATCTATTGGTATATAGACCTCAGGCCTCAAACCAGGCCTGTGCTACATGGGCTTTTGTTTTAGGCCTTCATCTTACTACAGGTTATCAGTTTAAGTTTTTTTTAATTAATTTTTACAACTTCCTGTCAGTATGTCTTCTTGCTGGGTCTTTGATTATCATTGCTGCAGAGCAGGGACTGTGTTAATATTTATTGTATAATGCCCAGAACATTGTTGGCACTTATCAGTTAATTAGTAAATTCTACTTGCTGTGCCTACACTATAACAGATTAATAATGTTTTTAAAATATCAAGTAATTTCATTTAAAAGACTAGAATCAGAAAGGTCTTCAGCTGAAGACTTGGATACTTTTCTAAAAGATGTGCTTGGCTTAGGCACAAGCCATTGGCTTCAATACAGAGTGAATAAATAAAACTTGGCCCCTGCCATGCAGCACTAGATGATCTAATGGTCTCTTCAGTCCTCAATTTATAAGGTCCTAATGAAAAAAAAATCTAAGCATCTGAAAGCAGTTATTAAATTACAATTCCCAACATTTACTATATCATGGAAGATTACTTACAATTTACAAGGAGAGGTGTTGTAGAGATCTCATTTCCCCTATGTTTGTTAGTTAAAGTAGTTGACTGTTTTATTGGTGAGAAATGTTTAGTTGTTGATGGAGTGTAGACATGTCTTACTTGAATTCCAGGAGAAGGGGAAGTATGGATGTTGCATTCAGCTAAATTCAACAAGGAAAAGAGAAACGGTTTTACTAACTGTAAGAATGCTGAAAGAAAAGTTACAGATTTTAAATCGAATTAAGATATGTTGATGTTATAGAAAGATTAAAAACTTCCATGAAATAAAAGTGATGGAATGTATCTTCACTATTCATTATATGTACCAAGGAATAAAGCGAAAGGACCAAATGCAGCCCTAAATCAATGATGCTCTACGGATGAATCCAAAAACTATAATGCAAATTTTCTACTATGTGTCTACACATGTACTAGGTTTCCTTTTCGATATAGTTTCACAATTGCTTTAGCAAAACTAGAATTGCATTGTGAACAATGTCTTACGATTACTAAACTAGAGAAATGGAGATCTCCCAAATTAATTGATGTCTAGCTGTGATAGAGTGGGGAAGCTAGTCTTAAAGGTCATTCTATGCTGTGTTTTATCTGCACTGTGCACAGGCTTATTTTCCTAGATTTCTTAGATGAGTAAAGGTACAGTAATTTGAAATAATATATATACATTTTACTTTGGATTCTTGTTCTCAAGAGTGGAGGTATTACTTCTGAGAACTTAGATTAGAAGCCACAAAACACAAACCCTAACACTTGAAATGTAGGAAGTCATAGCTAGAATTAAGTTCCTTTACTGGCTGAATTGATTTGGCACTAGTATATAGTAGTAATTAAATGATTTGAGGTTAATTAACATGTCCAGTAACTCTGGAGTCATACTGTAAAGAACTGCACATTTACATATCTGAGTGCAAATTCAGGAAGAGAACTCACTTAAAAAAAGGTGTGAGACCCTTGAGTAAATATAATTCAAGCAAAATTACATTTTATTTGTAGATTAAATAGCTGTAGCTGTGGTTACAAAAGTAAATGTCCTAAGCTGATGGTTGAAATGCAGCTATAGACAAGAGGGAGAAAAAAAAGGAAACCTGTATGGGTCAAAGCTTGTATATATTATGGGAAATGGATTAGATTCAACTCCATGACAAGATTAATCACTGATGGTTTTCATATAGTACAGAAATGTGAAACTTTAGTTTAAAAGCATAGATACATAAAAAGTAAGAGGCATAAGCCTTAGTTCTGCAAGTAGTTCTGTGTGAGCAGCTGAATATTAGCACAGAGCTCCCCTCAATTTCAATGAAGCTGTACATAAGTGTTAGGGTCTGCCCACATGGAACAGTTCACAGAACTGGACCCAAAATCACTAACCACCTTCACAAATAAGTGAATATGACTCACTAAGGCAATTATTGCAATGATGCAGGCCTAGCAACATCATACTGATAAAACAAGATCAAAAGAAGCAACTGTCAGTCAGTGACAAACTTGTTATTTTATTAACATTAGGGAAGAGATAAAATTCTAAATTTAACCTGGAAGTGTATTAATACAAACAACCGATCCTGCAATTCTTTTAGTGGGGCTCTGTGTAGGCACAAGAATTCTTCTGTGTGCAATACGGTAGGATTGGGGACTATGCCATCAAAAAAGGATTATATTCTCATGACAACACAGACATGTATTTTAATGCAGACTCATGGTCTAAGTACATTCATTTATGAATTTTCTTTAGTCCCGTTGCTTTAAAAAAAAAAGTCTAAAAGATATATATATGTATGTACACTAAGGCAGAAAATGAGTTTTGAATTAAACCACTTTTGAACTGGATGTATAATAGAAATTTTAGGGAATAAATTATAGAAAATTATTATTGATTAAAACATCAAGAGTTTAAGCACGTTCATTTTTACATGTTAGCTTGCATGCTTTGTGAGGGAACTTGCCTCCTGCACCCAAAAATTTCACACTTTAATGGGAGTTTTAAGTGCAGAAGAAATACAGAGACAGGCACTAATTAATCATATTAGCCTATAGATTTTTTTGCAAATAGAAGACAGTGGAATCATCCTGAACTTCGGTTTGTAGTTTTAAAACTACTCTAAGAATGTTAGGATAAGAAGAAAATATTGAAACGTGAAGGGGAAAGGGGAAGATACTCCACACACAATTTGTACCATAAAGTTCAACCTTTAAATAAGACAGACGCCACCTCAAGGTCAGAGTTAACCTGGTCTTGAATATTTTTACTATCTTCTTCATTCAACGACTTCACAAATCGAGAACAGACATTCATATCAAATCTATTAGGCAAAATAAATTTCATTCCCATGGCAACACTTTGAGCAGGGCCTTCTTCTGTGGTGGAATCAAGCTGGTGCTCTACTTTAATGTCTGGCATGTGAGACAGACTGTAACTGCTGGTGCACTCTTCCACGATTATCTGTGCCCCAACATCTAGATTTGTTGAAGATGCCATGATTTCAATCTCAACTATGTAAAATGTTGCTTCATGGTTTCCAGTTGGCAGTGGTTTGCTAGCATAATTTCCAACCAGCCAAGCAGTCTCTGAAGAGATCTGGACTTCAGAATAATCTGCAATTGAACACAAATTGTTTTAAAGTTTGAATACACTGTCACAACTTCACAATGAAATAAAAAACATATTATTAATATTACATTTAAACTAGCTGCATTTATATTACTATGAATACGAATATCAGGCCAAATCATAAAATTAGTATTAGATTTTATTTAGTTTTTGTTCAAATTGAAGCCAACAATAGTAGTACCTAAATAAGGATTTCAGGATTTGACCTTTTAATTACTATGCTTACAGCCAGCTTGGTGCAAATAAATTAGGGATGTTAGATATCGGGTAATTGAATAGTCAAGTTACCACATAAAATCTTTGGCTGTGTCTAGACTGGCATGATTTTGCGCAAAATCTTCCTGCCTGTCTACACTGGCTGTATTTGCGCAAGAACACTGACATTGTAATGTACAAAATCAGTGGTTCTTGCGCAAATACTCTGATGCTCCCGCTCAGGGATAAGCCCTCTTGCTCAAGTATTCTTGCGCAAGAGGGCCAGTGTAGACAGCAACGTTAATTTCTTGCGCAAGAAAGCCCGATGGCTAAAATGGCCATCGGAGCTTTCTTGCGCAAGAGAACGTCTACACTGGCACGGATGGTTTTGCACAAAAGCAAATCTTTTGCGCAAAGGCACATGCCAGTATAGATGCTCTCTTGCACAAATACTTTTAATAGAAAAACTTTTCCGTTAAAAGTATTTGCGCAAAATCATGCCAGTCTAGACGCAGCCTTTGTGGTTATACGACTATTTGAATGTCCCTGGGGGAAGGGCGGGCAGCCAATGCACTCCGGCACCACTCTCGGGAATCCCCTGCCACCCCGCTGCTAGAGAAAAGCATCTCTTCATAAGGCCATATATTGTAGAGCTCTGCCTTAGTAAGAATTGTAGGCTTTGGGCCCAAGACTACACACAGAAGGAAATAATTTGTTTCTTCGATAGAAAAAAATTGTTCTTTTCTCCCTTCCATAAGACGACTAAGGGTATCTCAGATAGAAAACTGACCCTGAGTGTAGCCTGCTGGTTTATAGTGAAACTGCAACACAATTATTGGGCCAGATTCTGATCTACTTATGACTGTTTTAACACCATTATAATTCTTAATGACTTGTAAATAAAAATATTTTTGTATGCGATATCAGGACCAGAACCAGTCTTGTTAAATATAGCTTCTGGATTTCAATAAGCATGCTGATTCATCGCCCCATGTGAATTAAGTGACTTTACCATCTAAGAGGATTGTTTCCACATCACAGCCTAAATTACCATAGCCAGGCTCCAATTAGTAAGTTAGCAAGAAACATTTGTCTTTTTATAGTACTGTATGCCACTTTGCAGTGTCAAGGGTTATTTAGTCTGCAGAAGAGAAGAGCGAGGGGGGATTTGATAGCAGCCTTCAACTTCCTGAGGGGAGGCTCCAAAGAGGAGAGAGCCTGTTCTCAGTAGTGACTGGATGGCAGAACAGGGGGCAATGGTCTCAAGTTACAGTGGGGAAGGTCTAGGTTGGATATTAGGAAAAAGTATTTCACTTGGAGGGTGGTGAAGTACTGGAATGGGTTACTTAGGGAGGTGCTAGAATCTCCATCCCTGGAGGTTTTTAAGTCTCAGCTTGACAAAATCCCTGGCTGGGATGATTTAGTTGGAGCTGGTCCTGCTTTGGGCAGGGGGCTGGACTCCATGACCTCCTGAGGTCTTCCCAGCCTAGGATTTTATGATTCTAAGATCTTAGTGTTACTATTGCTTACGTAAAACAAGCTGCCCATTACAGAATCACAGGGTTGGAAGAGATTTCAGGAAATAGAGTCCAACCCTCTGCCCAAAGCAGGACCAATCCTAACTAAATCACCACAGCCAGGACTCTGTCAAGCCAGGACTGTCATTGTAACTATGCAAACCTTTTCCAGCTAACTTGCTCCAAAAGAAATGTGTGTAAATTGCAATTCAGTCAGAGCTAATTCAGATCACTATCCTGTGTAGACAAAATCCAGACAACTATAAAACAGCACCAGAGCTCAGAACTCCAATCTTTGTCTTCCGCCCTATCTAAATTATAAACCCCAAGTTTATATGGATCCTATAAGGAGGAAGAATAGTTTAAAGGAGATGTACAGGAATTGCAGTTAGGAGTCCTAAATTTTAATCCCAGTTCAGGGTAATTTTGGAGAAGTCACAGCCTTCCAGCGTTCGCATAAAATAAGGTATCCCCCTGCCCCACAGACATACATTCATGGTAACGCCCTGGGTGCAATGCGTTTAAGTAATTATGCATATGCTGAACATTTCAGCAGTTACAGGCGGTGCAGATGTACAGGAATTGCAGTTAGGAGTCCTAAATTTTAATCCCAGTTCAGGGTAATTTTGGAGAAGTCACAGCCTTCCAGCGTTCGCATAAAATAAGGTATCCCCCTGCCCCACAGACATACATTCATGGTAACGCCCTGGGTGCAATGCGTTTAAGTAATTATGCATATGCTGAACATTTCAGCAGTTACAGGCGGTGCGGCAGCCCAAGAAAGAGGGTTTTTAAAATTGGCGCCCCACACGTACTGTTCCCTATACAGAGGCGGCAGCAGCAGCAAAGGGGGTGAGGGGCCCAGGGGCACCAGGAGCCTGCGTGTCAGTTAGCTGTGCGCACGGTCACACGCTCAATGTAACAGCCGCCCGCGAGCCGGGTGGTGCCGTTATTCAAGGGGCGGAGCAGGGGCGGGGCGGAAGCGCTAATTGCTCTAAGTCTCCGGCGTCGGACCCTCTCACCTGTGGCTCCCGACCTAGGGCATCGCTCTCATCGCCGACGTTCTTATACTCAATGACGTCATTTCCCCCTCTGATCACAGAAAACAATGAAGGTTTTTTTCCTCCCGACTTCTCGCCCGGAAGGGCGTTCCCAAGTACGGCGCCAATAACGCTCAATACGATTGGGCAGGTGGGAGCCCTTTTGCCTTTTCTCATTGGGCCTCTCAAAGGGTCGCGTGAGTCAGAGACGTGGGAGTGATGCGGTGACGCAGTTTTTGGGCGACAGGAACAACGCGATGCTCTATGGCAGCCGGCGAGGGACCTACGGCAACGTGACTTCTGCCTGCTGAGGCAGCACCGTGCTCCTTCCTCTGGAGCGGCCCCCTGTGTTATCCCGCCGGGACAGAGGCTCGGGGCAACCAGGATGGGACCGGGCGGGGGGAGA